CGTCCAATCAAAGTACGTGCTACGTCACACACACACACACACACAACCGAGAGATCTAGGGTTCGAGCCGCAACCGATCACAAGCCTTCTGTCCTCCTTCCTTCGGAGGTTAGTCGATGAGTGACGCTGTGTGAATGGTAAGCAGAAGGCTACAGACTACGCCCGGTATATAGTTGGTGCTAATTTAAGGCACTCCTGGCTGATGACATGAAAAAGGAGATCAATGCCCTACCATTAACTTCATGAAAAGACGAGCACCAGAAATTACCCCATAACAAAAGCGTAACGAAGACACACAAGTCTTCTCTCTAGACTTGCATTCGCCATGCTACTTTGGGAAAGATACACAGTTAATGACCCACATGTTAAGTTTGGTTTGTTGTAAGACAATCATTCCGCCAGAGAAACCGTTGTTAAAGCGGTGGGAATCCAGGTCATATCTGTAATTAACAATATCTGCATTTATCTCATAGACGTCAAACCGTTTCGACTGTACGAAATAAAAACACTTACCTCTCAGGAACGCGGCAACGCATAGTTAACCGCTACAATTCGATACGTCACAAAAATAAGCCAACACAAGCAGCTCAGACACGACCTATTATCTGCTTGGTCAACCTCAGTGACGGAACAAATGTGGTCCAATGTAAGATTTCAGGAATGGACCATTTTCTGCCAGCGGCACATGTTCAAGTGGCTCAGAACGGGATAATGAAACGAGGGGATGGATCCAGGGGATTGTCTCCGCCTATGTTTGACATGCTCCGCATTAGGAATGCACAATTAACCATCATTGGTGCTCACCCAAATGTGGTAATTTCTGTTTACTGCTACTGTAGATACCATGAATGATCTAATTTTCAACACAAATTTTAAAGTTTCTTAAAATAGCAGAATTGCGAAATGTCTATTAATAAGGTTTGGAGTTGTTCGACACTTTCTTCTGTACGAAAACCTTTTCCCTAATGCCAATCTGTCATTACTTGGCAAACATAAGCTACGGTGCCTCACTGATTCTTATTGCAATATCAAATGCGGAAATGATTTTGGTTCATTATTCGCCTGTCCGAAAGGCAGATGGAAAGTGGATTCGTGTAGAATGTGACCCAAATGACAGACAATTGGA